CCGTAGTCAAAAAGCCCAAAAGTACATTATGGGAGAAATTAGGATTTAGATGATCTAGGTTGAATACAAATATGATCCGTTTGTTTGTTGGCATGTTACTAAAACTTCAAAACATTTAATTATATTATTCTCTTTATTTTTATATATATCTTTTTATAAAAAAAATCAGTCAATTAAAATAGTTAATTTTCAAACGAGTTCTTCTAGTTTGAGAATAGGCTATTTTAATACTTTTTTGATTTTTTTTTGTTAAAATATGAGGTGAAAAAAATTAATATGTTTGAGATAATTTTTTAATTTTTTAGGAAAAAACATGCAAAAAGTACAAGAAAAAGAGAATTTTTGATTTTTTTTTATATAATTATTTGATTTTTAATTTTTTTAGTGACTTTTTGAATATTAGAAAGAATGAGCTAAAGTTTTGAGGTAGAGAGGAATACCTGTTAGGGGTACGAGTTGAACTTACCTCAAGGTGTTGCATTAATGGAAAATGCTCTGATTTGCAATACATATCATATGTAATTCTATCATAAAATTATATAAGTTTTTACGTACTTAAATAAGTGATTTTATAAAATACATAAGTTAAGCACAAATTTGTGAAAATTTAAAACTCACGTAAATTTTTATTCAACTTACGTATTTTTATAAGATCAATCATATAAATATGTAAAAAATTACGTAATTTTGTATTAGGTGTGCACGCTGAAGAATTTTCCTACATAAATACTAAGTCAAATGACCTAGTTCGGTGGTATCAGGTTAGACATACATGATAAATTGTAAAGCGAATTACTCTAATGGTTCTTATAGTTTAGGACTTGTATCACTTTGATCTCTGACTTTTCAATTGTGATATATTTAACCCTGAATTTTGAATTTCGTTTCAAATAAAGACAATTTAAAACACTGTTGTTCCATTTTAAGAGTAAAATCATTAATTTGATAAAATATAAACTAGTTTGACAAAATAAGTGTCTGTACGGGCACGAAATATTCTTCCCGTATAATCTTGTTGATCAAGTCTGCGCTCCTCCGTACGTCGTTGCTTTACTCCTTGAAAACACAAACGTGAGCTAGCCGGCGGGTGTGTGCCGGATACCTCTTCGATGCCTAAGTCAGCAAAATAGACAAACAGACAAAAAGCTCTGTGAATTCGGGAGTCAAAGTTGTGTGTTACCTCTCCATAGGTGATATTATGAGCTTTTATAGGTTCTGCGTGGCACAATCCTAATAGGACTCTTACTTCTCCATGTAGAGTCCTCCTAGGATTCATTCTCCTGAAAGATAATGTTTATCCTTCAATACCCCCTCACTACTTAAACTAAGTGAGATGGTTTTATTATGGCTAGACTCCAACATAATCGAGGTAAGCATGGCTATGTTAAGCTGCAGACTACACCGAGATAGCTCTACCTCGGTTCTTCCATTTACTGCTCCTACCACAGTTTTCCCAGCGTTGACCATAGTATGGCTTAGACCGTGCTAACCACTAGCTAGGTCCGATAGAGCTAGCAGCGCTATACTCTGACCGGACTAACTCTGTGTGTGGTATCCTGGCGACCGAGCTACCCGCAGTACTGTCCCGGACCGAGATAACAATAGGTTCTCTGGGTCCGGATTAACTTTAGGGCCGTCTGGAACCGGACTAACTTCAAGGCTCTGGGACCGGACTAATCTTCAAGGCCTTTTTACTCTGCCCTCCGTATTGTGGCCCATAACGGCCCATTACCCAGTTCGGCCCAATTTATATATAAATTACCCTCTCAGTGTCAAAAAATTATTTTTGAATTCTTAAAAATTATTTCTACCCACCAAAGATAAAATTATATAAAAATGATAAATCTTTTTTTTTTAATTTTTTACCAAATTAATTTTTAATGTGTTTGGATGATAATCATGTAATAGGTGGTTGTTTTTATTGATATTTTTAGATAGTTATCATGTAATAGATGGTTGTATTTGTTGTTAATAGATATTTTTAGATGATTATCATTTAATGAATGGTTATTAAGTTTTTAATGTATAATTGATATGTTTAATATATGAAATATTTTTAGTTTTAGATTTTTTGAATTAATGGGTTGCTTTAATAATGACATCAAAATTGTTGCCATGTTTAATTTTGAAAAAATAGAAACTAATTTAATGAAAATAAATATCAAAAAAAGTATTTCTACCCTCTTAAAAGATAAAATTATAGAAAAATAATGTATTTTTAATTTTTTTTACTAATTTAATTTTTAATTTCTTAAATTTTTTTTCTAAAAATACATTCTAAAAACCAAATCAAATGTAACTTTATAATAAAAAGTTTTTTTTAACATCATTTAGGCTTCGTTTGGCAACGAGCTATTTTAGTAATTTTTTTATTTTTTACAAAAAATATGCAGAAAAATAGAGAGAGTGATGTGGCAACTTATAATGACTTTTTGAATTTTTGACTAAAATAGTTACTCTCCAAAAGAAGTTAATATATTTCAAATAAAATACAAATTAATTAACACAAAATAAATTATAGTATAACACTTTACCCTTAAAATGAATGATTTAAAAATAGGGTGAATTACATTAACGATCCTTATAATTTGGGTCTTGTGTTACTTTGCTCCTTAACTTTTCATTTGCGACACATTTGACCCTAAATTTTGAATATTATTTCAAATAAGGACAATTGAAAATATCATTACTCAATTTCAAGGGCAAAGTTGTCAATTTTATAAAATATAAACTAATTTGATAAAAATAAATGTCAACAAAATATTTTTGAATTTTAAAAATTATTTCAACCCACTAAAGATAAAATTATATAAAATTGATAATTTTTTTAGACATTTATTTATTTATTTATTTTACCAATTTAATTTTTATTATGTGTTTGGATGATAATCATGCAATGGGTGATTGTTTTTATTTTTATTAAATTAGTTTCTTTTTTTTCAAAAATCAAATATGGCGACAATTTTGATATCATTATTAAACCAATCCATTAAATCAAAAAATTCAAAACTAAAAACATTTCATATATGCTGTGCCTGAAGGCACGGTGTAAATAAAAATAAGTGAACAAAAAGAAAAATAAATAAATAAATAAATAGGGAGGAAAAAAAGGGAGAGGGGAAATAAAAAAATAAAAAGAAAAGGAGGAAAGTGGGATGGGATCATGGTGTCATTCATGGATTATTTATGAGATCATGGGAAAGGTGTGTGAGCAAAAAAAAAAGTAAGAAAAAAATGGGAAAGTGAAAAATGTACACGTAGAATACATCACAGCCGTTTTGTAATTTGAACAGATATGAGCCGTTTAAATGTCCTAGTAGAACAAAAATATATTGAAAATTCAAAAACCCTCCTGTTCAGGAATAATCTAAATAATTGCACTTATTTGATGAGTATACTTATTTATGTCTCATCCATTTTCTATTTTTTTACACATTTTTTTATAAAAAAAATTAAAAAATACACTAAATAAACAAATCTCAAACAGCTCTTTAATATTTATTTTTCTTATCTGAGTTGTTATCCCAAAAACGTTTTCATTTATTTGTTAGTAATTTTTTTATCTCATTTCCGCTCATAAGTTATTTTCTCAAAAATAAATGGCAAATACATAATTTCAAAATTTTCCCTATAATTCAATATTTTTTTGAAAGACTAATGTTATACAAATAGAAAAAAAATTATATATAATAATAGAATTGATTGTGAATTTCTTTTTTCAAAATAAAATAATATAAAAAATAAATTTATTTATAATAATCACATTATCGCATTGTTGTCAAAATTTATTTATTATTTTTTTTTGGGGGTATGAATTAGAATAGAGATGAGATTGAGAAGTTTTTTTCTTCCACATGACTAATAAAAAAATGAAAGAAATCAAACACAAACACAACCACAGGGAAGCCTTCAAATTGGTCCCAGATTTGAAACGTTCACTTCTCTCCAATACATAGATCGACTAATATATATATATATATATGTATATGTATTGGAGAGATATATATATACACACACAAATTCCTCATACATATACACACATTTGCAGAGATATATATATCTATATATCTATAGATATAGATCAATCACAATTGACATACAAATTTCCAGAGACACAAGGTTTTCATTTTTCTTCTTCTTTCTCTTCTCTAGGATTCCCAAATTTCTCATACATATACACACATTTGCAGAGATACATATGTATATAGTTACAGATCAATCACAATTTGTATCATCATCAAAAACCTACACTTTCTCTCTCTGTGCGAAAATGGCTTCAGCGAGGGTTTTTCTCTGCATTGCTAGTCTCGTCTGGGCTCTCGCGGCGGTGGTGGAAGCTCAAATCCCCGGAGTTTACACCGGCGGGCCATGATAGAGTGCTCACGCCACCTTCTACGGCGGCAGCGACGCATCCCAAAACAATCGCCAAAAACCGACCCTCTTTGTAAAGAATATGGAGAGAGGAAAAATATATAAATGGGTGAGTAACGTGGGTTACTTGTTGTGCAGAGCTAGGGTTTCGATCTGTGAGAGAGAGAGAGAGAGAGAGAAAGAAGCGTGGATCAAATAAACAGAAGTGGGGCTCTTGGGCGGGAAGTTGAGGATGAGTGAGAGATAGGGTTTTCATCTCTACCATCTATCTTCGAGTAGAAATCAATTATGACCGTTAAAATGTCTTAGTAAGATAATTGCTTCTAGGATAAGTTCAAAAATCTTCTTTCCTGATTATATAGATTTTACATAATTTTATTTTTAGTGGGTAGAAATTATTTTAAAAATTCAAATATATATTTTTTATATTTATTTTTATCAAATTAGTTTATATTTTATTAACTTGACAATTTTACTCTTAAAATTGAGTAATGATATTTTAATTATCTTTATTTAGAACAATATTCAAAATTTAAAGTTAAATATATCACAATTAAAAAATTATAATTCGGCCTTTAAAATATCAATAATTGCCTTGGTTTAAATCAAGATTCAAAATATGCATCACAATTAACGTGACACAAACCCTAACCTAGTGGCAGTGTAAATTGTATTTGTGTGTGGAAATAGGTCTACTAGGTTCGGTGTGGAGCAGAGCGGGAGGAATCCAGAGAAGAGGAGGCTCAGCAGCCAGGCGAGGGAAGAAGGAAGCGCAGGGAGGGAGTCCGAAGAACAGCAGCTGAAGTATTTGGTCGGAATTTGTATGGGTTGCTGCTGCTCACTTCGGCGAAAGCTTCGTCTTGAGCTTCAAACTTGGAGAGTGCATTAGCTAATTACTCAAAATATTAATCTAACTACTAATAAATGCTTCTTCATCATCAACTTTCACTCTCAGGAAGATCATCTCCATCATCACCCCCACAAAACCACCCATTGAATAACCAACCCAGTCTCAGACTCAGCTTTGAACTCAACTACAGACTCATCTGCAACCTCCTCCTCTCTTCAACTCACTCCACATCTCTCCCTAAGGCCCTCCAACTCCATGCCCACATCATCAAATCAGGATTTCTATCAATCCCACTCATTTCCCACCACCTCATCAATTTCTATTCCAAGTCCCAACAACCACTCCATTCCCTCCAAATTTTTGAAGAGACCCCAATTAAATCATCCACTACTTGGAGCTCAATCATCTCTTCTTTTGCCCAAAATGAACTCCCTTGCCTTGCTATTGTTTTCTTTCGTCGAATGCTCCATCTTGGGGTTCGCCCCGATGACCGTATATTCCCCAGCGCTACCAAAGCTTGCGCTGTTCTTTCGAGGTGTGACATTGGGCGCTCTCTCCATTGTTTTGCTCTCAAAACTGGGTTTGATGTTGATGTGTTTGTGGGGAGTTCTGTGGTTGATATGTATGCCAAATGTGGGGATATTAGAGATGCCCGGAAAGCGTTTGATGGAATGCCTGATAGAAATGTTGTTTCTTGGAGTGGGATGATATATGGGTATACTCAATTGGGTGAAGATGAGGAGGCCTTGACGCTATTTAAGCAAGCATTGTGGGAGGAGTTGGATGTTAATGATTTTACTTTTTCGAGTGTCGTACGGGTTTGTGGAAATTCTACGCTTCTCAAATTGGGGAAGCAAATACATGGTTTGTGCTTGAAAATGAGCTATGATTCATCGAGCTTTGTGGGTAGTTCTCTGGTTTCTATGTACTCCAAGTGTGGAGTTATTGAAGGAGCTTATCAGGTTTTTGATGAGATACCTGTTAAGAACCTAGGCATGTGGAATGCAATGCTTATTGCCTGTGCTCAGCATACACACACAAACAAAACGTTTGATTTGTTCAAACAGATGGACAGTGTTCGGATGAAACCAAATTTCATCACTTTCTTGTGTGTGCTCTATGCCTGCAGCCATGCGGGACTAGTTGAAGAGGGAAAGCATTACTTTCAGCAAATGAAGGTATATGGGATTGAGCCGACAGATCAGCACTATGCTTCCATGGTGGACTTACTTGGGCGGGCAGGAAAATTGCAGGATGCAGCTTCAGTTATCAATGAAATGCACATAAAACCAACAGAATCTGTATGGGGAGCTTTATTGACTGGTTGTCGAATTCACGGGGACACAGAATTAGCAGCTTATGCAGCTGATAGGGTCTTTGAGTTGGGTCCTGTGAGCTCGGGAATGCACGTGCTACTGTCTAATGCATATGCTGCTGCTGGAAGATATGAGGAGGCAGCCAAAGCCAGGAAAATGCTGAGGGACCGAGGGGTGAAAAAGGAAACAGGTTTGAGTTGGATTGAGGAGGGAAATAGGGTTCATAAGTTTGCTGCCGGGGATAGGTCCCATGCAAAATCTAGAGAAATTTATCAGAAGTTGGAGGAATTGGGAGATGAAATGGAGAGAGCTGGTTATGTTGCAGATACCAGTTTTGTGCTGCGAGAAGTGGATAGTGATGAGAAGAATCAGGCAATTAGGTATCACAGTGAAAGACTGGCCATTGCATTTGGGCTCATTGCTCTTCCACCTGAAAGGACGATTAGAGTTATGAAGAACTTGCGTGTGTGTGGAGATTGTCACACTGCAATAAAATTTATGTCAAAGTGCAGTGGAAGAGTAATTATTGTGAGGGATAACAATCGATTTCATCGATTTGAGGATGGGAAATGCTCGTGCGGTGACTATTGGTGATTAAATTGTAAGAATACATTCACTAGGACCAAATTGTTTTACTAGGAAATTAGAAAAGGAAACTTGTAACAATTGGTGATTCAAATGTAACAAATTCATGGAATTAACCATTTTTGACATAGGAACTACATGGAAGATACAAAAAAGAAAGATGTTTGTGCAGTCTCAATTTTTTAAGTTAAGGAAATATTGATGGCATATAAGCCTTTTTGGCAAGACTGACTTCAATTTGGTTATTGGATAGGCATTTTTAGTTTCCTTTTTTTGGTTTCCTTGTGTTGTTTGCATCATCTTGACGCTTTGTCAATAAAGTCTTATTATTTATCCAAAAAAATGATTTATTACTATTTGTTCTGGGGATTTAAGTGTCCTGTATCTGCCATTATTTGAATAATATTCAACAACTAAATGATAATAGTTTCTTCTCGTATACAGGCTAGAGGCAGGGATTCATTTTTACATCCTGTTGTGCTCAAAATTAGGAACACTATAGAAACGGTCTTGTTGTGGCCTTCATTTGATGGAGATAAAGGTAACAAGTTTGCTTTTCTAAATTTGCTGATCCTCATACTGCTGCTAAAGCCTGATGGCTGCAAGTCTATTTCTCCCTTTCAGTTTTCCAAAGGTCAGCATGGGTGTATTGATTGTCTAGCACTCATGATATGTACTGAACTACAAGCTCCAGAATCATTCAGAGACTTGACCTCAAAGAACACAAGCCTTGTGAGAATGGACAGTTGTTCACGTCAATATCTCATTTCCTCTTTGTATAAGCACTTTTGTTTTTTTACAAGAATTCAACTGATCTCTGTGATGTCAAACGCAGGGGATGCTGCAATGAGAGATTCATTCAGTAGTCAGTTATGTGATCCATCAATTAACACATGATAAGAATGAGGTTGTTTGGTCTGCCAAAATGGGCAATGAGGACTGCATGTATGAGGCATCAATATCTATGCCATTTGTTCTATGCATGGCTAATGTTCACATCAGTGCTTGTCGAAAGATCCCAGACTCTTGCAAGAAACCCTTTGCTCAGGAATTTCTTCCACATTTCGTTCAGTCTTTGGAGATATGTTATAATAAAGGTCAATTGTTGGGTTCGTGTTGTACTGACTTTCAATATCTAGGGTCTCCACATTTTTATTGTTACCATTCCTCTCTATTCATCTTGGTGGTGATAGCAGGTGATGATGGAATCAGAGCAGGTGATAGCAGGTGATACGACTCGTGTCCTGTTTTTTTTTTTTTTAAATTGTCATGTATGAGTGTTTGTGTTCGTGCTTCTTGGTTGCTTAATCTCAAATATGACCCAAAGGTTTTCCAGGTCAGAAAGAGTCATATACTTCAGAAATTGAGAAGTGCATAATTATTTATCTCCCCATATAAAGGATATAAGGAGGACATAAATCTATTGTTGTGCATGTTTCAGTGATTCTGTGGTGTACAGATGTGGAAAATTTTAACAGGCAGAACTCAGATTCCATATTAACTAGCAGTTTAAGAACACACTAACTAAAGTTAGAAAATAGTACATGCAAGAAATAAGTTGCTTGCTTGCTTGCCAATAAATTGGTATTGAGTGGTAAACTAGAAAACTGAAAATGGATGTACTAAGGTTCATTGTAGTGGATTTCTTACCTTTTCTGATCCTTCTCTGAGAGATTTCAGAGAGACTTTGAGAAGATCTGAAGTGTAATGAGGAATTATAGACTTCAGATGATGTACAGCTGAGAAGAAAACCTGGAGGCATGCAGCTAAGGTTCTAAAAAGCGGTTGTGGTCGCCGTAACAGTGGCGGTGGCGCAGTTGCGGTTGTAGGGTGTAAAGGCCGCAGCGTAACGGTTGCGGTTACCGGAACTGTGAATTTTTTTTTTCCGCACAATTTGCAAAAAACTTACCGATACACATATATTTTTTTTTTATAATCATATTTATTGGGTTTTAAAATAAATTTTGATAAATTTTTTATAATTTTTAAGTATGATCCAATATATTTCACAATTTGCAAAAGACTTGCCGATACACATATATATTTTTTTTATAATCATATTTATTGGGTTTTAAAATAAATTTTGATAAATTTTTTATAATTTTTAAGTATGATCCAATATATTTCATATTTTTAAATCACTAGAAAATGAATTTTTTACATTTTATGTCAATAATTAATGACTTTATATGTCATAAATCCATATTACACTTGTGGCAAAAATTTCTTTTATTGAACTTCGATGTATAAAATTATTTTTAATTATTATACTTGTGGAAGCATATGTACATTTTAACTCAAATAATTTTAAAAAAGTATACATCCTTAATGAAAGAACTTGATAAAGTACATAACATCATAGCATAAATCACAAATAAAATAGAGTACATTTTACATAATGTTATTACTAAAATTACATAATATCACCACCAAAATGAGTAACGTGGTGCATCTTGGGATTCAGATTGTTGAGCTTCATTGTTGCTGCTACCTTCACCCCACCAAAATGAGTGATGTGGTGCATCTTGGGAATCAGATTGTTGAGCTTGATTGATACCACCTTCAACCCATCCAGTAGAAAAATATATAAGTAAATGTGCTCATCATGTCATCCTTTTCTGTTTCGTGCATTGGGAGAGAAAATGGATACCTTGGCTGAAAAGGATTAACATACTCTTCTTGGGCTTGTTGATAATTTGGCAAACCGTATCCTAGAGGACCATGTTGTTGAAGGGGCCAAGGATAATTTTGTTGAGGTGGGTAAGGATAGCTCTGGCTATCACTGTTATAGGATGGGTAAGGGTGATATGGATAACTATGACTACTATCAGCTGAATCAAGCTGTTGTTCTCTACTTCTTATTCTTCTTTTATCCCTACGTGTATCACTACCATAAAACCTCCTAGGTAGTTGGGGGTAAAGGTGCAACAGGTTCTCCAATATCATAGTGTCCCCCAACATCACATAATCCAAATCCTCTAATAAAATCTTCACTTCCTGCACCAAAACTAGTACCATCACCGCCATCACCACCATTGTTGCCGCCGCCACCACCACCACCGTCACCGTGAGAAGTGCCTTCACCATCACCATCATCACCTCCTCCATTAGATGGTGTTAAACCACCACTATTATCACTTTGAGTTGGAGTAGAAGTTTAGTTTTGAGAAGTGCGTTGAGCTTGATATTTATGAGTGCCACCACCATTGTTTCCATCGCTGCCATCGCCACCACCATCATCAGCTGAGACCAAATCTAGCCATTTAGAATTATCCACACCATCTAGTAAATGATTTTCTCTTTCTTCTATCCATGGACTTATTGGATCATCTTCTTCAAATATGTAATCCAAGTTAATAGGATTAAAACTCCTATCAATCTCTTCTTGGCTGCTTCTTTTAACGTGTCTCAATTTTAATATCATGTTGTAGGTGATGAAGACTAATCTTTGAGTTTTCTTATATTTCAATCTATTCCTCGTCTTTGTATGGATGAGACTAAAAGTACTCCAATTACGTTCACAGTGAGATGATGTAGTGGTTTGACTTAATGTTTTCACAGTTATTTTTTGAAGTTCAGGAGCACAACTGCCATGAATAATCCACCACTCAGCTGCACAAAATTACATTTCATTAGACATAAGTCAAAATATGATAGAAAATTATTTAAGTATTTATATATTGTAAATTTGAAATTTTGAAAATAAAACCTGGGTTTGATTGTTTCCATGCTCTTTGTGCTAAAGGAGTGCCAAACGTTTCCTATTTATCTCGAAATAGCAACAACTACAATTTGGACAATCATTACAAGTAACATTTGCAAAAGTAGATTATTACTATTAAAATTTAAATAATTGGTACGTACTTGATTTGTTGCTTTCACTTGAGCATCCATATTAGGCTCCAGTCTGGTAATTACTTTTTTAAGTCCATCCATCACTTCTCTTATCATTTCATTGGATGAGGTAACACCATATTGGAATTGAGGATTTAAAAAATATCCTTCAAAAATAAGAAGACAATTAATAATTGTAAATAAATATACATTTTATAATTGAAATCGTAACACTTACCAACCGCATGCAAATCTTGATGCAATTGGGTTGAGGTTCTAGGAGCTCTAGGTGGAGCTCTTGAAAGTGCTTTTGCTTGGTTTTGTTGCCTAAAATTGTGTTGTACTTCAAGAGGTATAAGCATCAATATGCGCCATCAACCAACCTCAATACTCTGACTAGGGGCTCATGAACTTTACAAAGCTCTGTTGCTTTCTGCCAAAACTCCTTTCCCAAAATAATTTTTTTCACATTGTAAGGCTGCCCAGTCTTTGCCTTCCCCCATCTAGAATTCTTCCACTCATCACTATTAAACATAGCTCTCAATTGTTGTTTATATCTAACAATACTCTCAATGGCAATAAAATTTGTAGCAAATCGAGTGATGGCAGGTCGAATCAATTCTCTACCTCCAGTGAATTTTCTCATTAAATCCAACACCCATCCACTATTATAAATGAAATTGGTGATGGTTTTACCATCTTCAATCACCTTTGCTACACTTTTCTTATTGGCTATGTCTTTTAGCATGAGATCGATACAATGTGCTGAACAAGCTGTCCAATATAAATGTTTCCTTTTTCTCATTAACATTTTACCGGCTGCTTTCAGTGCAGGTTCATTATCAGTTACCACTTGAACAACGTATTGTTCTCCAATTTCATCAACAACTTTATCTAACAATCCAAAATAATATTCAGCAGTCCTACTAATAATATTAGAGGCACCAATTGATTTGTGAAATATAATACCTCTATTGCAGTACACTAAGAAGTTGATGATGTGTTGCCGGGTTAGACTGCTCCAACCATTACATATGATGGATACACCTCTCTCTACCCAAATTCCCTTGAATGATCCTATCCATTCTGTCATTTCATCGTGCTCAATGCCCAAATATACTTCAGAAACTTCATAAGCACTAGGACCTTTTACTCTTGGCCCTACTTTAGCAGCAACATCAAGTATGGGTTGTGTATACTCTGAATCAACTGTATTGAATGGAATACAATTATAGAGTATAAACTTGGACACTGCTCGTCCCAATCTCTTTCTTAACTTCTGTAAATTCATTGTAGAGATTTTTCGTTACTTTGTACTCTTGCTCTTTTGGAGTTCTACATCCATTGCCCTCAACCTTGCTTCAGGAGCATTGGGCTTAATCCAATTACGTCCACTCCCACCAGTTTTACGCACGGATTGTGATCGACAAAAAACATTAGCAATACCTGACCCTTTTGGCATTCTTTGACCACTACCCCTTCCACCAGAACTACCACCTGCATCATATTTGTGATCCATGACCTGCAACACCTCGTCTAAATTGTTGCCTTTCCTCCCATTGTTGTTGTGAACGAATACTTGCTTGTCTAGCCCTGGTCATCTCTGGATCAGAGTCAGAGTTATCATCTCGAATATCTACAAAATCTCCCCCTTCATCCTCATCATAGAGATCATCTCCCCTAATATGTGCTTTCAATTCAGCTTTTCTCTTTTGTTTGTCTGCTTTACTTATTTTTTTATTTTGTAATTTTTTCATCATTTCTTGTATCACGTCTCTACTAACATTAGGACAAGAATGCACTTGCCCCGTTTGATGTGCTAAATGTTGTTTGAAACGCGTAATCCCACCATTAATGTGATGTCCACAAAATTTACAAATAATATGACGCCTAGTGCCTTCAACTTGAGTTTCAAATTTCCAACCAATATCATCACTTGGGGGTTCATCATTGGCACCCTTTTGTCGTGGCATTTTTGAATTTGAATTCTGCATCATTGATACATTTTTTAACTTATTTTAAATGTTTACAAAATTATTTTTCAGCAAAACTTGAACTAACTAAATAAACAATATTTACATTTATTAAATGAAATGATTGTAAAAAAAAATGCATCCACTATTTATAGATTTAGTTTTTATATGCTAATGTAATCATATAAAAATTAAAAAATAAATTATAAAGATTTTTTTTTAACTAATGACTTTTAAAAAAAAAATAAAATTTAGCCATAAAAATTGTTGGCACAACATATTACAATTTAACATTAAAAAAATATTTAAAATTAAATACTAAATAAAATAATTATAAAAAATTGCAACCACTATTTATACATTTGGATTTTACATGCAAATGTAATCATATAAAAATTAAAAAATAAATTATAAAGATATTTAAAAAAAAAGAAAATTTTGTCATAAAAATTGTTGTCACAACAAATTTCGTCATTAAAAAAAAAATTTGTTATCACAACACATTACAATAACAAAATAAAAAAATATTTATAATTAAATGAAATGATTATAAAAAAAATTCAACCACTATTTATACATTTGAATTTTACATGCTAATGTAATTAGGAATAAAGACATTTTTCATGGCATTGTTTGAGCTATTGTTTTTGTTTTTATTTTTATTTTTTTATTTTGTAGAAAGACATTTAAAAAAAAAATTTTGTGCCATCAAAATTGTTGTCACAACACATTACAATAACAAAATTAAAAAATATATATATTTCAAATTAAATACTAAATAAAATAGTTATAAAAAAATGCAACAACTATTTATACATTTCGATTTTACATACTAATGTAATCATATAAAAATTAAAAAATGAATTATAAAGAATTTTTTTTGAGGTATTGATTTTTTTTTTCTTTTAAAAAGATATTTAAAAAAAAAATAGTGACTTCAACATTGTTGTCACAGCACATTACAATAACAAAATAAAAAATATTTATAATTAAATATTAATGAAATGATTATAAAAAAAAATGCAACTACTATTTATACATTTGAAGTTTACATGCTAATGTAATCATATAAAAATTAAAAAATAAATTATAAAGAAAAAAATTCATACATAGTTGTTTTTTGGGTTTCAATTAGTTGAATATTTGTTATCTTTTTGAATGACCTGCAAGAAAAAAAAAATTCAATAAAAACTGACATATATAAAATGTATTAATATAATTATAGGTGTTATGATTTTTAGATATTACAAAAAAAAGATCAATCACTAATTATTATATATAAAATACTAAAAATAAGTGCATAGCTCTCTCTCTATATATATATATTTAAATTAAAATTACTAAATATATCACATAAATTTTGGAGATCATTGTTTAAAAAATAAAATAAATAAAATAAAATTTGCTAGTTGGAGACCACAAATGATATCTTCCCCAAGAAGCTAGCCAGAGAGGCAGCTAAACAAACAAAATAATAAAAAAAAAGGCAACTGATCAAACTATGCACTTACTTCGTCTTTAACACAAAGAGGCAGCCGGAAAGTCACTGGTTTCAGCACAGAACAGACGCAGCCTTGACGATTCAACACAGGTTTATCTCTTCCATCTTCCCTCTTCTCTCTCTCTATTTCTCACTCATCCGTATTTCAGATCTGAAAATTTGTGAATGGCCAATACACCTATGGAACTTCAAAGTGGTTCACGGGCTGTAAAGACAAAAGACAAAAGCTCAATTATAATAAAGGTATGTACTATGCGTAACGTGCCTTTTCTTTTGTTTTTGTTTTTTTGAAAAGAATCAGCTATGGAATCTCATCTTCAGCCTTTACTTTTGTTTTTTTTTTTTGCAAATTTGTGGATGGCCGATATACCTATGGAATCTCATCTTCATCCTTTACTTTTGTTTTTTTTTTTGAAAATTTGTGGATGGCCGATACACCTATGGAATCTCATCTTCAGCCTTTTCTTTTGTTTTTTGTGTGTAAAGAATCAGCTAAAAAAGCCCTGTAACGTGCGTAATGGGCCGTTACAGCCGTTACAGCACCGCTACGACCGCTACGACGGCCGTAACGGCCGATACACCTGTGAATTTCAATCACACCGCAAAATCGGGGGTAACGCGTGGTGCCTACCGCCGCAACTGTTACGTAACGGCCGAAACCATTATGTAACACCGCATTTCTAAACCTTGCTATAGGGAAATGCAATGTACATCTATGCAGCACAGTTTCAAAATTGTGGATCAACATCTCATTTTAATAGATTCATGTTTCAAGTCTATCTGTTTGCTATTGAAATACAATAATCATAATCATTGTAATAAGGAAAGCAAAAGGAAATGTTAATTTTTAAAAAATTGTACTAAAACCTGTGTATTATTCCATTAACCTCTCAAAAACATAATAACATGGTTTATACAAAATAAATAGAGAGAAAAATCTAATTACCCTAAAGACTAAACTACCCCTTATGGTAAATAAAAAAGTAACCAAAGAACATTTCACTTCTTAAGTTTTAATTTTCAATCCCTCTCTAGTATAACTTTCAGCACCCTAATTAGTAGCTTGTAGTCTCTTAATAATTTATAACAAATTAATAAGATCATAAGGTCCCTAACAACTACGATTGCAAAAAGACCATCAATACACTAACAAGCCTGCAAAAAAAGAAATTGTAAAAACACATATACTACATCTTAACAATTATTGTGGTGCAGGGGGAACAAGTTGAAACCATACACACGAAATTGGCACACGTAAATTATATAATTAGACATGGAATCATAGGACTTCTATAGGCCCAATCTATTATGACAAGTTGGTTCAAGCCAATTCTTTAAATTGAGTAGGAAGCTGATTTATTAAATTGAGAGATTGGGGCCAATTCTTTATACTATTTGGAACTTTGATTTCCCTATCACCAAATATGCTCTCCACTATGTGCTAGTTATTCTGTTTGTTTGATTGTCTTGATGGGAATGTAGGACCAAAGTGCACAATAGTGTCAAGAATTAAAGACATACTATTCATGTATAACATCTTTAACTTCCTAATCAATTTTAGAAGATTTGGATTCAATTCTTCCTAATTAATGCACAGGCATGTCATCCTCTAGTAACTATTCTTCAATTGTGAGACTTTGGACTTGAGGTATGAGGCTTTGAAATGTGAGTGTGGTGTAAGAACTGCCATAAGGGTTACCGAGTCTGACAAGCCATCAAAAGGAAGATTGTATGTCATTTGTGAGAAGAAAAATTGTCAATTTTGGAGGTGGTGTACCCCAAAATCTATGACGATGGTAGAGAGGCAAACGAACGAGACAAATCTTTATCAAAATCAAAACATCGAGACTGTAGGACTAAAAGTCAAGAACTAAATGCTTGAGCAATCCTTTACATTCATGAAGCCACTTGTTGTGGGTTTGCTCACAATTTGTATTGTTTTGTCAGTTGCATTACTCTTCAAATGATTGTAGGTGGCTTTTAGATCAGGTGTTTTTGTGCTAAGCTGTGTACCCAATGAATGTTGAGATGTCTATCGTAGTTGCCATGTATGGTTATTTTGTACTAATCTTATGTTTTAATAGCAGCAATGATGAATAAGTATGTGTTAAAGATTTTTTTTTTTCTTTCATAGAATGAGTACCTAAGAGGAAACACAATCTGAAAATAGGAAGAACAAGGGAAAATCTTCTCAAGTACCATCTGTTCAGGCTCATTGGGATGCAAAATCAAATGAAATTTTTATTAAGTTTTGTGTTAAGCAAGTGAAGGCTGGACACAGACCTGGTACACACTTAGATAGGGTCGGGTGGGAAAATGTGATAATTAAGTTTAAAACTATGACTGGAAAAGCATACCAACCAATACAAATGAAAAACACTTCAACAAAAAAGGGTTTTTACGGCGCGCAATGCACATACACACTAAGCCGTAAAAAAATCATTATTATTAGCATTCACGGCCTATACAATAGACACGTGGTTGGGAAATTATTTACGACATGCAAAAAAAGCAAGTCGTAAAAGCGAGAAACCACGGCTTACATTTACTGTATGTTGTTAATATGGAGCCGTAAAAACTCAGTTTTGTTATAGTGAAACCACTGGGATGTGTTGAAAAAAGATTGGCTTTTATGGAATAATCTATTAAGGGGTGAGACAGGCTTAGGCTGTGATACATTGACTGGAGCTATATCTGCATCTGATGAATGGTGGACCAAGAAATTTGAGGTAAGTGAATTGCTTAATGTACATATTCTGTTTATTTTTTTGTTTAAACAGGCCAAATTTTGTTACTTGAAATTATTAAATTTTCGTTTGTAATTATTACAGAGGTATCCTGATGCTGCTAAATTTCGGCATATGCCATTGCAATTCGCTGAAGACTTAGACATACTATTCTCAGATGCAGTTACTACAGGAGAATGGGCATACACTCCTAGCTCAGGGGTTATGCCTCACACTGATGAGACTCTGGAGGAATTTCATACCCCACATGATGCTGAATTTCATGATAATGATGATTTGAAGGTGGTTCATCCTTCTGAGTTAAACAAAAAATGTCCATCAAACACTGATGGTTCATCAACCAAGAGTAAGACAAAGAAGAAATTTACTGGTATAGCTACTTAACAAGACATTTGATCGTATAGTCAATGTGGTTGAGTCATCTTCAGCAACTTCAACACAGAGCTCATCAAAATATCCTTCAATTGCAGAATGTTTGGCGAAGTTGGAAAGCATCCCTGGTGTGTCCCCGGATGATGAGCTGTATGTATGGGTTGCCAGATTGTTCTTAAGAGACAAGCGTCGTAAGTGCTTCATGACCCTTCCTACAACTGAAGTTCGGCTGAGGTTTTTAAAGTTGGAGATTGAGATGGAGAAGACCACCACAGGTTATCGCGGCTAATTATTTATGAAGTTTTTTTTTTTCTTTCTAAATTTCCTAATTATTTCATGTTTAAGACTTTTATTATTATTTGTGGATTGTAGTGTTGGACTCATTATTTTTTCTTTTATTAATATTGAGTATGTTGGAATTTTATGTTGGACTCATTATTTGAACTTTTATTAATATTTTGTTGGACTTTGACTATATGTTGGACTTTGTTAGTTGAATGTTAATTGCATGGTTGACTGGTTGATTTCAATCTTGAATATGAATGGTAGGTGAATGGTTAAAACTTTTATATAGATGTAGATGTTCTCCAGCTGGTGTTATTGTGAGAAAGGTTGAATTTCCTTCTGCTTGCTGTGTTATATTTATTTTTTTTGTGTTGAATTTCCATTTGTTACAGTACTGAATTTCCATCTGTGTTGTTTGAAGTTGAAGGTATAATTTTTTTTTCTTTATATTTGCATGTTGTTGTTGGTTGTAATTTATATGTTACAAATATATATATATATATATATTATTGGGCAACCCAATTCTCGTTATGTTTACATCTAAGAGCAAGGAATTAGAATGAAAAATGCTATCTGCCACGTATGGAAGATGGCCATCTGTTGCAACAGGTTTTCCCATAAATATAACCACCATATGTACTCTCAAAAGAGGCAAGTGAAATGTGTTCTTATTGAATTTTGTAATTAACCAACACCTAACATTTATAGTCAACAATTTGAATTATGAAACCAATATTGGTAATGCCATACTTATTTTTCGCAAACACACTATTCAACCATTCGACTATTTTTCAGTTTCTATTTCTATAGTCTTGGTGATTTTATTTTCCAACTTCCCTATGGGATTTTTTGTTCACTTTCATGTGCTCTTATTAGTCAGTTTGTAGTATTATGATATTTTTGAATTGAAGTAGTGTTTTGGGCATGTTTATGGGATTACGGTTTAAAAAATAGTTAAAATATAAATACAAAAAAACACTCATGCCAGTGGTGAAAACACAATGCCATGGGGGTTGATAATTTACCGATATCATCAATCATTCTTGTAATAGTAACTAAGTCTTTAAATGACTAGGTATTTTGGAGATGAGTAACAGTGATGAAGATCAATGAAATGATGATCACGATGATGAAGATACTGAAGATGAAGGCAGCACATCGCAAACTCAACAAAATAATAATATGCTCTTAACTACGGCGGCTACAGTTGCAGTGACATATGCGACAAATTATTTGATAAAAGAACCATGTAAGACATCTAGTTTAACAGTGTGGAAGTGGATGGTAGAATTACAAGAAGGGAATCGGACAAAAATATTTGCAAATTTTTGAATGAAAATAGAGGTATTTTATCAATTGTGTGATTTGTTACAGACAAAGTATGACCTTGAAACTCGATGAAAAGTCTCGGTTCAAGAGTAGGTTGCAATATTTTTGTATATTGTTGGCAGTGACATTCGAAGCAGAAATGTCTAAGAAAGATTTCAACATTCCGGCGAGACTATTTCAAAATACTTCAAGAAGGTGTTAAAAGCTATTACAATGATGTCCATTGATTGGGTAAGGTCTCAATCGAGAAATGGTGTGCATCTATATATTTGACACAACTGCAAATATTATCCTCATTTCAAGGTAAATAATTAACTACAAGTGGAACTTGGGTGTTACATATAATTAATGTTGATAGGATATTTTAATAATCTATCACTAAAAATATTTTTATTCACTACTATTTTGTAATTGGATTGTATTGGAGCAATTGAAGGGACACACATCAAAGCATATATATCTCCAAATAAGCAACCTCGTTTATTAGGTAGAAAAGGGGTATGCAACTTAAAACATAATGGCCGCATGGGACTTTGATATGTGTTTCACATTTTGCTTACCAGGATGGGAAGGAAGTGCACACGATACTCGGATCTTCTTGGATACAATTAGGAATCCTAGTTGTAATTTTCCAAAACCATAAGGAGGTAACTGTTTTATATGTGATTGCTACAGTAGATGCACCACACTCACATCTCCATATTTATTTTTACATTTATAATTGCTTACTTTAATTTCATTTTGGAAATTTGAAATAGGTGAGTTTTACTTGGTGGATGCTGGGTATCCAAACTTGAAAGGATATCTTACACCTTACAAAGGAGAGAGATACCATCTAGCTCAATTTGAACATGGTTAACCCCCCCAAAATGCATAAGAAAAATTCAACCAATCACATTAATCACTTAGAAGTGCAATAGAAAGAATGTTTGGGGTTTGGAAAGCAAGATGATCGATGATAAAGGATATCCCACCAAACTACAAGTGGCTGACCCAAGTCAAACTTGTTTGTGCAACAATGGCAATTCATAATTTCATCCAACGAAGTGAGTTCCGCGATATTGCATTGGGCTGAGTGCGTCCCGCCCCAGACCGTAATGTAGCAGCTCGGTAAGGGAGTGCTCGGTCGGACCAGGATGCTCGGTCCGAGGTTAGCCGAAGCCAGACAAGCCGAGTAACCGGCGCCCGGAAAGGCGCGGACGGCCGAGGTTACCGTTTGACCGGCATGAAAGCTGACCATGGGGTGCTTCGGGCTAGGCTTTGCCGAGATGCCTCTTAGCCCGGTCCCACCTTGGAGTTTGCCAGGGAAATGCTTGGGTATGAGGCATGGCATGGCCGTGGTAGAGCAGCTCGGCTGCCGAGCTCCAGCTGTGAAGTCAGGCAGTTGAGATTAGGTGATGTTCAGCAAGATCTATGCTGACAGATGGGATAGCAGAGCCACGTGTCAGGAGATGACTGGGAGTGGGTAAGGGGCTCAGAAGGTATATAGGCATGTCTGCGCCCCCCATACGCGAACACGAACATATCTGTAAGGACTTCTTACTGCGCGGCTTACATGTGCTCCCAATATTTTTGCTAATCATCCAGCCCGGTACCTCGGCTGTCTCGTAGTTGCCAGACACCCAGAAGAAATCATCGTCGTGAAGATCCTTGTCTGGTGTGCCGGTTACGATTTTCTCTCTGCCTGGTCTAATCTTGAGGTAATAGGCGAGACCATCCTTTGGATTCCCAACCGAGATAATGTACTCCGATTGGAAGAGTTGGTGTCTTGTCCAACTTTGGATTCCCAACCGAGATGATGTACTCCGGTTGGAAGAGTTGGTGTCTTGTCCAACTTTGGATTCCCAACCGAGATGATGAACTCCGGTTGGAAGAGTTGGTGTCTTGTCCAACTTTGGATTCCCAACCGAGATGATGAACTCCGGTTGGAAGAGTTGGTGTCTTGTCCAACTTTGGATTCCCAACCGAGATGATGAACTCCGGTTGGAAGAGTTGGTGTCTTGTCCAACTTTGGATTCCCAACCGAGATGATGAACTCCGGTTGGAAGAGTTGGTGTCTTGTCCAACTTTGGATTCCCAACCGAGATGATGAACTCCGGTTGGAAGAGTTGGTGTCTTGTCCAACTTTGGATTCCCAACCGAGATGATGAACTCCGGTTGGAAGAGTTGGTGTCTTGTCCAACTTTGGATTCCCAACCGAGATGATGAACTCCGGTTGGAAGAGTTGGTGTCTTGTCCAACTTTGGATTCCCAACCGAGATGATGAACTCCGGTTGGAAGAGTTGGTGTCTTGTCCAACTTTGGATTCCCAACCGAGATGATGAACTCCGGTTGGAAGAGTTGGTGTCTTGTCCAACTTTGGATTCCCAACCGAGATGATGAACTCCGGTTGGAAGAGTTGGTGTCTTGTCCAACTTTGGATTCCCAACCGAGATGATGAACTCCGGTTGGAAGAGTTGGTGTCTTGTCCAACTTTGGATTCCCAACCGAGATGATGAACTCCGGTTGGAAGAGTTGGTGTCTTGTCCAACTTTGGATTCCCAACCGAGATGATGAACTCCGGTTGGAAGAGTTGGTGTCTTGTCCAACTTTGGATTCCCAACCGAGATGATGAACTCCGGTTGGAAGAGTTGGTGTCTTGTCCAACTTTGGATTCCCAACCGAGATGATGAACTCCGGTTGGAAGAGTTGGTGTCTTGTCCAACTTTGGATTCCCAACCGAGATGATGAACTCCGGTTGGAAGAGTTGGTGTCTTGTCCAACTTTGGATTCCCAACCGAGATGATGAACTCCGGTTGGAAGAGTTGGTGTCTTGTCCAACTTTGGATTCCCAACCGAGATGATGAACTCCGGTTGGAAGAGTTGGTGTCTTGTCCAACTTTGGATTCCCAACCGAGATGATGAACTCCGGTTGGAAGAGTTGGTGTCTTGTCCAACTTTGGATTCCCAACCGAGATGATGTACTCTGGTTGGAAGTGTTGATTTGTTCGACTTTGTTACAGCCGAAGTG